GAACAAATGGCGCTCGATAACACTGGTTTGGGAAGTGAATCGGCCAAAGGATCCAAACTTACTTGCAGTTTTATATGGAGACACAGAACAGGATTCTGTTTGTATATGAGATATTCAATGGGATCAGGCCCAAGCGTTGTAGACATTGAGGGTGCAATTTCCCATTAAATTTACCTGCAGTCAGGCTGTTTTCCCCAGGAAGGGATAACCCAAATGCCTGCTGATAAATGAAGCATACAGAACTAAATGGGAATTGCCAGGTGCAAAATAATCATTCAAATTTATAAAGCGCCCTTAAAAAATCGTTCTCAGCACTGCGTACAGATAAACGGGCATGGTAATGTACAACCCTTTGTCAATCCGCTACTGGATGAAGGCCTCATTCGGCTGCGCGGGTCCTTGGGTGTTATTTGACCATACGTGACGCTGGTCAGTGTGGGTTGGCGAAGGCAGGGAGACACGGACGGCGAGAGGATAGAAGTACGGTGCAACTTCAAGATCTTGCTGCGTTGCCCTCTGTCGCCCACCACGTAGCCCTGAGGCCTACAACAACCTGCTGCTCATGGTGGTGGTGCATCCAAAAACTATCTGGGATCACCGTGACTGTCCAACGTTAAAAGTAAACGTCGTATATAAGACAGCAAGACTGCAGTATAGTAGAGACTCCCAGTACATATATATTAGCAGCTGACATGTTAGAACCTTCACAATAACCTTAGCATCTGGCACAATTTTAAAAAAATGCTATATGGACAAACTTCCTCGTGAAATCATTATCTATTGCCTCTGAATTATTCAGACCAGTGCACAACCTGTGCTGCAGAAATGACGTCCGTTGTATTTGCCCCCAGTGCAAAGGGGACGCGATGAAGGTGCCTGGGTCAAAGGTGGCTTTGCTCAGGAATGATGAGTTTACATCCCCTCTCTGTTATTTTTACTATTACCATGCCACTCGTTCACCCACGGAAGTCTCACTGGGTCTCAAGACCTTTGAATGTCGGTTGTTTACTTTGTGTGGCTCGGTAACGTTTCACTGCGAGTCTCCAGTGTGCGACTGCGGGTAACCCAGAACAGACCGTACAACCATCGACGACGATGCAATGCCACGATCCACAAATACGAAGGAGACATCGCAGCTATACACTCCGCTGCTCCTGACACGGTTATCTGGGATTGAGCACTGAAAGTTACATTTTAGTTGTTGCTCTGCAGCTACATCAGCAGCCATACAAAAGCATAAGGCGAAAACTGCAAATTTAATAAAGTCTCTCCGGCATTTACAACGTGCCTACACTTATCACTGCATATTTTATTAATTTCGTATGTCGAATTTCTTTCGCACTGTATGTAGCCAACCGTGCTAATCGAAGGAGAGTATTTACGTTAGCTGAGAGGATCCGAGACACATACATGGACATGTGTGAAACTACAGGACATCAGTGAAAAGGAGAATTACAGCTCATCGGATTCCTCCAGTATAAATACACTTTCTAATTCTATACATCTCATTTACAGCGGAGGCATGTTGGTCCAATGAGGGAGTCATCGATTTATTTTTGCGTGAAACCAAGCAGAGAGCAACTGGCCCTGGGCTTTGACCCGCATGAGACTTCATCCGGGACACCTTATCCCCTTAAAGATTAACCGGGGTGTGGGGAAGAGCAGTAAAAACCAGAAAGGGCTCGAAACGGCTGGGCACCAAAGCCAGCATCGCAATTAGTCCACGAATACAAAGCAGACCTTTTGCTTGTCAGTAAGCAATGGAGGTGGAAAAGACTTCGTTTTTGGGAGGTTTTTTTTTCCCAATTAAAAAAAATATACCCATAAGCTACTCATTGAAATAAGTAAAAATGCATTAATTCATGGGTGGAGTGGTGGCGCTGTGGTTTGGGCATAATGTGAAGCCAGCTAAGAGAGTTTGATTCCCAGCCACGGCTAACATCAGTGGCTCGTGATATCTGGAACGATTAGAGACAACCCCGTTTCACCAATCCGCACTGCTAACCAGCGTGGAGAAATATGGAGGGCCCTTAATTCAGCCGTGGATCGACAAAGGGCTGTATATGATTACGATAATTGATAATATTCATTCATCATACTTATAGAATGGCTATACAAATAATTTAGCAACCACTGAAGTGTGTTTTCCCACCGCAGGTGGTACCAATTTGTGCTCTCGTAGACGCCCTGAATATCTGGCGAAGAATCCGTGGATTTGTCCGAAGGCAAGTCAAGATGAAACTAAGCGCAGCACCAGTCACATCTATAATCATAATAAGAACAATAACGTCGTGTGTTTATCCAGACTCGCAGAGTACCAAGGCTCTTTTTCAACAGGGTCTTGCATTGGGAATCATGCCCAATTACACATTAAAGAATATTTTACACACGTGGTGTTAAAAAGATTACCGTGAGACAACCCACACACGAGGAGAAAGATAACATCTGTGGGTCCACAAACACTGGGTTTGACTAATCCACTTGCTGTACTGCCATCCTCTGTCTACCCTGGAGCCCAGCAAGAGAGTTTCATACACATGCATGATAAAGCAAGCAAATAGCCCATTGCCAGGCACGCCCGTGGTGGGGTAAAGTGTGGGCAGGCCCACTTGTTCTTGGGGCTTCGAGTGGATGGCATTCTGTCAGCGGTGGCATGAATAAGTAATTGCAGGGGCTGCACCTTAATCTTTACCACAATAGAAGAACTTCCCCCACAGCCTGTGAAAACAATGCAGGTAAGGCTTTGGCATCCTTTCAGGATTGAACGATTTGGAGTTGAAGCACGGTGCGCGTATGCACGCTGAATTTCTTTCGGACCGCACGTAGCCAACCAACCGTGCTAATCGCGAGGTGCGGGTGCGCGTCGCCGCGGCTGGCTGAGAAGAGAGATTCTGGTTCGGTTGACTGACGGCCGTTGGGAAATGAAATCCTAAACCGATGAAGAAAAACAGGTCTGTTGGCCGAGGAGGTTCGTACGCCAGCGGCTACACATCCTGCTTGGAGGAGCAAGCCTGGGCAGATCGCGTCGCGTGAAGCATTCTCACGAGCCGGCGCCGAAGTTCATAGCGGCGGGGGGTGGGGTGGGGGGTGAAACGTGTAAGGCGTCCTAAGTAACTGTCCGTCGACGGATAGTATTGCAGCGTATTTTCTGTGCTCGCCACAAGAGAGGGAGAAGGGGGGGGGGAGACCCTGCGTCGGATGCCACCACGCCCTGAAAGCAAGCTGGTAATGCCTGCCCAGCGAGTGAGCCTCCGGAGAGGGGCGGACGCCACTGCCGCCCTCTCCCACGCAAGCTCGCGACGTGCAGACTTTGTACTGGCGCTGCTATCGGGTTGGATCTTCAAAAAAACATACGAGCGGCGAGGTGGGCATTGTGTCTCACGGGCATACGCGATAAGCGAGGGAGCACGTTGAATAGGAGGCGAGTTTCGCTAGCGGTAGAGTTTGCACGTGGATGTTTATATTCCTCCTCACCATGAACTCACGGTACACGTACAGCCCCTTTGTCAATCAGCTGCGCAGAGATGTTAAATACCTCACCTGGTATGCAAGAGGCCATGAGATCGATCGCGACCCTGAAGCTGTATATTTGGAGTTTGCATGTTCTCCCCGTGGTCGCGTGGATTTTTCTCCGGGTCCTCCGGTTTTTCCCTCCACATTTAGAATCAACATCGCGTGTTGATAATATTTGGCTGCAATACATTTCCACATGATAAGCCACTTCGTTGAGCTATCATTTGTGGCCAGGTCACTTCCGATAAGTGAGTTTATGTCGTTTGGGTCGTGGTCATAATTTAACCATACTTCACCCTTCCCCGGTCAGTGCGCATTGATGAAAGTGGGGGGCGTAGATGCGGCAGCGTCGTTTTACTGCTCTCTGCTGCTGCTGCCCACGGCGTGACACGACCGTCACCGCCCCACCGCATCCACCTCGACAACCTGGAGTGCACGATGGCTCCCCATCATGGCATCACCCGCATGCTGCACCGCCGATTAGCAAGGTTGGCTACGTACATACGACGCGAAAGAATTTCAACATACATACACACATTTCGGCCTCCAACTAGCTCGGCTTTCAATATCGCACGCGTTCGGAATTTATTTGGTCGTTTCGGGGGATAATTGTGTTTTTTGTTGTTTTTGTCATTCGATTGGGGGTTGCTTTATAACAGCTTATGATTATTTGAAATGTCGCGTTTTCAAGGGAAGCAATGAAACCAAGTCACAGGAGGATCTACGAGCCGATGGACTGCTACTCTGCACTACCTGGGGTTTGTGGTCTTGACGGTACCAGAGTCGGGGAAAAATAAAGCACTTGTCACCTCCTTCTGCACTCATAAACAACCCCACAGGATGGTCAGTCGCCTCAACACACATGCAACTACAGCCGGGCTCTCCGATTGTGTGGTTAATTATCCCTTCGATTGATTATATCCCTTCGATTGATTATTTCCCTTCGATTGATTATATCCCTTCGATTGATGGGTCGAGTAATTACTCGACCCACAGTGGGGAGAACAAAAAAAAACCGTCATCTCTGCTCCCACACGTGCCGCTGGACGGGCGGTGACAGACAAGGCTCGGCGATGCCATTGGCGTCGTCGGCCACGTCCGTCACGCCGGGGAGTGGCTTCTCGGGGGTTTGCGGTCTTCGTGCGTGTCAGGAGGAGGGGGGGCGGCGACCGTCGTCACAGTGGGTCCCAAAGCGACCGAGCACGACGAAGGGGCAGCCGATTACAATTCACGTCCGGCTCAACCGATGCAATCGGGAGATGGGCACGGCAGTTGCGCGAGTGCGACACGCAGCGTCCGTCGCAAGATGAAATGGGGCGAGGAAGTGCGCGTTGGAACGCCGGCGAGCGACCGTGCAACGGCATGGAGGAAGCGGCCATCGTGCGGTACGAAGCGCGGACTGTGATGGCGGGAGCGGGGGGAGGCGGTGGTGGGGATGGGGGGGGGAGGAGCGCGGAGGTCAGGGAAGACGCCGGCGTTGGACTTACCGCGACGGGACGTTTTGGGCATGGTTTGCATGCCGACGGGCAGACCCACGACGCTCATGCGGTTCACCAAGTTTGCCACGTTGCCGGTCTTCTCGCCGTGCCGGGTCAGCGTGCCCTCCTTCTTGCCGCTGTCCTCCCTCTTGAGTTCCTGTTTGGGGAAGCGACGCACGCGGACACGGGGTGGGTGGGGGGGCACACGCAACGCACACGTTAACATCACCATCACCATTATATGTTGTATGTAGAACTTCTTTCGAACCGTACGTAGTCAACCAACCGTGCTAATCGGAGGTGCCGCGGGGGGGGGGGGGGGGGGGGGGGAGGACAACAAACTCAACGCAAAAAGCATTTAATAATGCAACAAAACACACGTGTAGAATAAATAAAATAAAGAATAAGCACCACCAGCACATTGTTAACAAAAGTGATGCACGTGTCTTTGTCTAATATTATACATAATCCCACCATGCAAATGCTTGCGTAAAGAAATATTGTTTTGAAGTTACATATACAGGACACTACTGGGACTTCCTATCGGTACTCATTCATGACCAAGTCCACCAGTTATGATATGCGAGCTGTGTGCCGGGCCGGAAATCAAACTCAGCTTGCCGTGTTAGTGGTGCGACGTGCTAACCACTACGCCAGCGCTCCCCCCACAAATGGGGACAGAAAAAAAACTCCACAGACGAGCACATACACAACAAGTACAAAGATCTCCTGTATGGCATTAACATACTTTTCGAGCAAGTGCTGTTAGCGAGTACCTATGAAGGCCGGCATGGCACACGAGGCGGTGGGTAGCCAACACCACACCGATGTTTACACACCACACCAGGTACTCATTTGAGGTCGAGTCGACCTAGGGGAGACCCAAAACCGATTCAGATAATTGTCGCTGGTGTTGGCCATGAGCGGGAATCGAACTTGGGTGGCCTGGTTCGTAGCGCAGCAAGCTCATAAAGACACATCACATGCGCACACGCACATTTGGACAAACTGACCCATACTCGCACAGATAAATGCCACACACACGTAATAAATGTATTTTTTCATGTACAGATCCTCACTCGCACACACGCCAACACACTCACACATGCGCCCATGCATATTTAAGAAGAATATCTGAAGATGACCTCGAAATTCCTCCGCAGCCCCACTGAGCGGGGTTTAATATTTGGCCGCTCGACATGCAAAGCAGCATGGTCACTGTACACCTTCTTCGCTCTCCGCTGCAAATCCCCTCCAGATTATTCGTATTCTTTTTTTCTCTGCTGAAAGCAAGCACGGGGGGAGGTGTGTCATCATCGCTGCATCATCACCATCGTATCAATTTCGTGTCTGTGACCTCGGACTGCGGGCATCGCCGCGCCACTTACTCCTTTGACAATTTCTTGATTTTTTCTCAAGAAGGGCCTTCACGTGCTCGCCCCCAAAAGGCACATGACAGGACGGAACACACTGTGCTTGGCATCTTGGGCTCCCTTCGCAGCTTCGTACAAGGGTTACTGGCTATGCCGCCCCGAGCAGGGATGCAACAATTTGTATGCACGTCGCCTTTATCGATTTATAAAGGCTCTCGCCACGGTGGCGAGGTGTTAACTACATCGTCCGGTATGCAGGAGGTCGTGGGTTTGATCCTGACCCTGAGACCTAAATATTTCGAGTGTGTGCGTCTCTCCCGAGGAGGGTCGCATGCATTTTTCTCCAGGTCCTCCGGCTATTAGCTCCACATTTATAATCAACGTGCTGCTATAAATCTCCACATGATAAGCCACTTCGTTGAGCTATCATTTGTGGCCAGGTTGCTTCTGAAAAAGAGCTACACGGCTCAGTGGGCCTTCCTTGGTAAATTAAAAAAATAGTTTATAGTTTGGTTTAACAAATAAAAGGAAGCATGCGTGTGATGGGGAGTGGTCGTCCAGTAGGTTAGCTCGCTACAGTGTGGGTTGGCGAAGGGGGGTGGTGGCCACGGTCTGGTTCAGATATCACTCGCCACTGATATTAGCCATAGCCGGAAATCAAACTCAGGTCGCCAGGTTCATAGTGCAGTGCCACTACTCCACCCAATTCCACTTTGGCACGCGTTTTCTCATGTGGGAGGGGAGTGAGATTTCCAGAGACAACCCACACGTACAAGGGGATAATACAAATATCCTCCATACTGCATTAACAGACTGCTGGGGCAAGTGCTGTTAGCGAGGACATATGAAGGCCGGCACATGAGAGGTTGGGTGGCCAGCACAACGCCTTTGGCTCCCCCGTGGCAATTTTTATTACACGGAACCAAGCTTTCATTTGAGGCCGAGTCGACCTAGGGTAGGCCCAGGACCAGTACAGGTCATCGTCACCGATGTTGGCAGTAAGAAGCAATCGACCTGGGGTCACCGGGTTCGTAGCACAGCGCGCCAACCGCTACACTGCCGCTCCTCACAAGAAGGGCCCACATGGACAAGGTTAACAACGCCAATGCTGTACTGACATCCCCTAGCCGCATAACAGACCAGTCGGTTTTTAGGATTTTACAAATATCTGCGTGATACGCCAACCCCATGGCACCGATGCTAAGTTGCCATAAACCTTGAAATGAAACTTCAACCCACCAAGCCCAATTTGCAGGCAACGGAATAGGGCTTTGTTTGATGAACTTGGAAAACATGTGAGGCGAGGGCGATTGCTAAACTACTATTTTATTTACCAGGTTAAGTCCACTGAGCCAGTGACTCTCTTTCAGTGGCGACCTGGCCACACATGATAGCTCACAGAAGTTGCTTAACGTGTGGAAATGTATAGTTGCAGTCAAATAATCAGCATGTTGCTCATGTACGTAAATGTCATCACGAGCCATTGTCTATCCACTGCTTGGTGAAAGCAGCTCCATGCTCTGGCCATCGCTCACAACACTGCCATCTCTCGGATTAAGAGCAGCCTCACAAATTCTAAACACGCCGACAAATGCAACCGGGCTAACGTGAACTTAAACAACCGCCACCATGAAAAATAATCTGAGTTCACGTCAACAAATCTGCACTGCTTGACACTTTAAGGATATGGTGTTCTCGAAACCTTTCTTGTTCCAACTTAAAATATACAGAGCACGGCTTAAACGAGTAGATATGTTTACATCAGTGTGCAGCCGTTTGCAGAGAGTCGGGATTGTTTGACCGTACTTCAACAACCATCGTCAGTGGTGGCTTGGTAAAGTGGGGCGAGGGGCCCAAGACCAGCGTCGACTATCACTCGCCAACGATGTCAGCAGTGGCCAGGAATCGAACTCAAGTTCGCAGGGTTCACGCGGTGCAGCACACCAACCACCAGCCACACCACCGCATATCTCGAGCAAGACGCGCCAATTACGTTGGTGACATCTATTCACTCTTTCGTTTCATCCTCCCACATTCCCAGCATAAACCCCCATCTGGCCAGCATAAATATTTTTTTTCTCGCACAGCGACCACTTTTTTTAACACGTGGCGGAGCGCGGCACAGACACAAGGCAACGCGCTTTTTAAGTTGCGTTACATAAAGAAACACTGCACATCGCCGCCGCCGCCGCACTACATTAGCCTGGCTGACGGGACGAGCCAACACAGACACACCCAAGCCTTCTGCCAACAAGACCAACAGGTTATGGTAACACACAGGGCTCTTTCCTAACCGCCCCCCCCCCCACAGTAAGTGGGGTCTTGGTGTAGTTGCTGGCGCTCGGCGCAGCCGATGGAGTGGGGGGAGCTTTGGAATGAACTCGACAGGAGAGAATGCGCGAGTGAGTGTCCCTAGCACGTGTGTCCCTTGCGCGTGTGTATGTCCCTTGAGCGTGTGTATGTCCCTTGAGCGTGTGTGTGTGTCCCTTGCGTGTGTGTGTGTAAACGCCACTCCGTGTCACGCCAGCAGTCAGCAACCAATGAAGCGACGCTTCCCACCGGTTAGGGAAAAACCCGCGACAATTACTGGGAGAAAAAACCCACCAAGAAGCCCAGCACCAAGAGATATAGGGACAGCAATTTTCTCACAAAGCGCCAATGTAATCGTGAGCCATTGTGTATCCACTGCTGGATTAAAGCAACCCCCGCACTACTGCCATCTCTCAAAAGCAACCTTGCCGTCTATCGTAACTTAATTGGTACATCTTTATGCTCACAACCAAGATGGAAACCAAACACCAACCCACGGTTAACAGAGTTGACGCCTACATTCTGTCCACTTTTTCCATGAATAAGCGTGTATCACCCATGGCTCTGGCACAGCTACAAAAGCATTGGCTCATCTCTGGGTTTGGCTCACTTAATTATTTTCTATTAATAAGTAACAGAAAAAACGCAATTGCATTCAAATCAAGACTTCCCTGGTATTATTAGCATAGGTGGGTACATTTACATTTTCCCCTAACGGAATTGTTGAGAACTCCTTAGCAACCCATAATCTGAACTTGTGGTATTTTCACAGGGGCATCATGATTATAGCTGCCTAGGAATGGAATAAATTTACGAGCTGTGATTTCTGCACGGTTTTTTTTTCTTCACAGCAGCGTGTTAACTAGAGCCGTCAATGATTGGCTGGATTTAGTCACATGCGTGGCTTGTTTCTCCTTCCTCATTCTCTCCACCCTTATGGCGTTAATTAGAAACAAGTTTTTACGAGACTAACACTTTTATCCTGGCGTTGAGCAAGACGTGACGGCCAGTGGTCAAGACTCACGGTGGAGCGTATGTAAGTGTGTGTGTTAAACATCTTTCGCACCAACCGTGCTAATCGGAGGAGTGGCAGCCAAGGCATGACGCACCCAAAAGGTCAATCGCACACCCAAGAGGTCAATCCCCTCCTCCTCCCCCCGTAGAGACGTGCAGGTGCTGTGTAGCTTGTTATCGCGAGTTCGATTCCCGCTCACGGCCAACACCAGTTATCTGAACCGGTCCTGGGCCTCCCCTAAGTCGACTCGGCCTCAAATGAGTACCTGGTGTGGTGTGTAAATATCGCCACTGGGGAGACAAAGCCGGCCTTCATAGGTGATACTCGCTAACAGCACTTGCCCCAAAAGTCTGTTCAGGTTTTCCGGGGGATGTCGTTTTTTTATATTGCAGGACCAGGAGATGGCTGCAGATTTGGGAGGCTTTCATCCAGCCCATCCTGCTACTGCTACGCCCTGTC